GGTACTGAAGCTGCACCTGTTACTTTTGCTACGGTGAAACTTCAATGCTTTGAGCACTCTGTCGTTAGCTTCTATGCCACGTCACCATACATTTACTTTCTCTACCAGCCTGTCAACAATCCCCAAAATTAGCTCTGCGATCTAGATTATCTTGTACCAGAGAATCTTTGAGGAACATTTTTGTCTACTTTCTTTGCCAGTAATGATGTGATAAACAATGAAACTTCTAGCTCAGATCTACTGGCTTAGTTCCATACGTATGTATGACTGACTGATCAAACACTCTTGTTATTTCAGATCGATACTTATGGCCTTGACAATAAATAGATAACAATAGAATAATATAGTTAGCATTAAGCATCAAGATTGCTGCAACTGTAGTATCAATAACAATGGATTATTATACATAACATCGAGATAATTTCAACCGTACTCCTACATTCCCCTGAGGGCAAAGAAAATTTTATCATACTATCATATGAAATTTTATAATGGAATAGTTGTTTTGGTACTCAGTTTTGTAGCATTTATTGCAACGAATTAAGTTTTGTTGTTCTTTTCTTTACTCCAGGTCAAACAGTACCTTCCACGCCGCATCCCAGGTCCTGGTTACGTTTAGAGTTGCGTATCCGAACTTTCGCCGAAAGAAATTGACTTTCTTAAAGTCTCAATATCGTTTCCAACGGTTTGTCCGTCTGTGTTCAGAAGTTTTCCAGTTTGGCACGTATAGAACGAAGCCAGCAGATCTGAGCTAGAAAATAAAAGACGAAAGAGTCAAATTCGGAATTTAACAAATGAAACTTCATGTAACTTAGGTCGTAAAATTAGTGAGAATTGCAATTGTTAAATTCCGAATTTGATTCTTTTAGTCTTTTCTTTTCTAGCTCAGATATACTGGCTGAGTTCGATACGTATGTATGGCTGACTGATCAAACAGTCTTGTTATTTCAGACCGGCACTTATGGCCTTGGCAAAAAATAGATAACACTAGAATAATATAGTTAGCATCAAGCATCAAGATTACTGCAACTGCAGTACCAATAACAATGGATTAAAGTACATAACATCAAGGTTACTGCCACCGCAGTACTACAAATGCATAAGAATTTCGCATTTGTTTCTTTTTCTTTTTTTTGCGCAAAGTCATGGTATACTATAAATAATTGAATAAATGACATATGATGTTCAGTGATGTATCATTTGCATATCTTTCTGTCACGATTAGATCAAAATCATAATGCTTTGAATTTTTTTTCAGTCTTACCGAAACCAGATAGAGATGTTTGATTTTAGACAAAATCAAGGCAAAGTGAGCACATTTTCTATTTGTGTTATGTTATGAGGACCAAGTCAGCTATTTCCCTCCTAAATCAAAAGAGAAGCTAGATCCGTAGTCGATTTAGGAGTGGCGAGGGGGTCGGGTGGACGTTTTTAAGGGATTCGACCCACTACCGACCTACCGACCCAAAGCTTCCCTCTTTGTAACTGTTTTAGGTCATCCATGTTTGGCTGACTGACCATAAGTTTTTCTAAAGGAGCCAACATAAACTAATTATGAGGTAGGAGCGTGCGGCAAAAAAAACGCAATATTTTAGTAAATTTTTTTAACGCCTTTGGCTTTTTATTTCAAAATTTTTGCCCGCGGCACAGAAAATTTAGTCAAAATAGGGTTTTTATAATGGTTTGGGAGAATCTAGAATATCACTTTGATCGACTAAAAATCGACTAACCCCCCCGTGAGCAGATAGTTCACTTAGTGGAAAGTTTTTTTTTCAGCCAATCAGATTTAATGCTTTAATTTAGGGGGTCTTACGGGGAAATTACTCAATTATTGGTATCAAAAGGGGGAGATTTTTCGCATCAGTCGTTCTAAAAAAAAGTGTGCAATCATTTTCATATTATCGAGAAAAACGTTTTTAGGTTAACTTAAACCTAAGTTCTGAACAGAGGATGACATCTAACCTTATTTAAAATTACATTTAATGAAACGTATTTTTCTGCAATAATCATTTAAAAGTATACCTCTATGATAAGAGTGCAGCAGAAATTGATTCCAACCGAGTACGTCTTGCCTCCCATAATTGACATTATTACAAAAAAAATTGATCGAAGCATCTATTTTTCTACATTTTTAATGACAAGGTGTGCTGAAATATTTTACAACTTACAAAAATTGATTGATTTCTGCAAGTGCTTTTCTACTTTTTTATTGATAACATTTGCTGAATAAATAGTTTCCTTTTCGTTCAAAAGTCTACGGAAATAAATGTAATTTTGAAACGTTAGTTAATATACATATTCATTCCAGCATTATTTCATCTGATTTAATCACCCTTTCTAGAATTAAAAAAAAAAACAGGCAACTTGGACCAAAAAGGAAAAATAATTTGAATTCAATTAAGCCTTTTTTGAACGTTTCGAGAGCTCAAAACTTTCTGTTCTAATTGCGCAGCAAATTGCTATCTGAGTTAGAAATTTGGTTTTTTGTTTCAAAATCTCTCGCTTTTCTGTATCGTTTCGGGATGTGAGGTAAAATAATTTTTTTGAGCCAATTATATCATTCTTTTTTTTTTGCTGTCAATTTTTGTTTGTTTTTTTTTACACGGGGATGGGATTTAGTAAAATGGAACCATTCTTGAAAGCTTAAGAAATGCGAAATATAACTAATCATTTTTTTCAAGTCCGCCAAATTTTCTTTGCTTTTTCGCAATGGTTCGAATATTTCATTAACAACAGTTAAGTAAAATGAAAAAAGGATTAAAATGGATATTTACGGTCTAAAAAATTGTCAAAAAACCAACTCCCATCTTGTTTTCAGACAAAAAAAGTGGTGTATAAACCGATTATTACCCGTTATTTTCTCGAATTTTATCGCAATATAATCTATCGAATATCTAAGAAAATGTATTTTTTGTATTTTTTTATTTGGGTGATTTATTGTGGCAATTTGGGTGATTAATGCAAGCATTTCACAAATTGTTGAAAATTCATATTTGAACTGTCTGATCGTACTTGATCTCTATTACTTTCAACATTATGGAAAAAAAACATTTAAATTCCAGCAAAATTACAACTCTCATAACAATTGTAGCTTGAAACTATTTACAAACAAATAGGTTCAAATGAAACTCGCAACTCTACCTATGATCTGCTACAGGTATCACCCTCACGACGCTGACCCTAATGTCTGAGTATTACAAACACATTCTTTTTCTTTTCGAAGAAAAACCAAATCAGATGGCGAATGAAAAGTTAAATTAAGTTGGTACTTATAAGCGTTAAACTCGTTTTTTGTCCTATATCAACTCGAGGTCCCTTTGTACCATCTTTGGTAGCAGTAATCGATTTGTTACCATGACATTGATCATATTAGTTCGCAAAACAAACACGAGATCATAGTTTTGCCAAAAACTGCAGTAGCAAAACTGTTTTGGTGTTGAAACTCGCTAGTCGTAGGCCCCTGTAAACGTTTTAGTCAAATTTCTTTGACTTGTCCACTTTATGGTTACTGTTTCTACCATGAATATCTCCTCCCAACATTAACAATGGCCCATCTCCTCCACCACCCGCAACCTTAACCCCCCCTCCACCCCTACACCTTTAACCCCCCATCGTTCACTATCCTCAATCATTCACCAACCGCCCAGCTGTCCCGAAATGTTTACGACCAATTTTCAAATGTTGGGTGCGGGATAAATTATGTTTTTTTTTGGCGGGATGAGTGGTAAATATGCTGTTGTTTACCACAAAAGGATGTCTGTATATGCGTATGGGGCGGCTGGGTGATTGCTTGGTAAAGAGGAGGGGCCGTGTAAGTCTTTTCTTATGTCGCACCGCGCCGCTCAAGTCTTTTCTTAAGTCGCGCCGCGTCGCTTAAGTCTTGTCTTAAGTCGCGCCGCGCCGCTTAAGTTTTTTCTTAAGTCGCGCCGAACTCTTAAGTCTTAAGAAAAGACTTAAGCGGCGCGACTTAAGAAAAAACTTAAGCGGCGCGACGTAAAAAAAGACTGACGGTGCGACTTAAAAAATACTTAAGCGGCGCGACTGAAGAAAAAACTGACGGCGCGACTTAAGAAAAGATTTAAGCGGCGCGACTTGAGAAAAGACCTAAGCGGCTCGACTTAAGAAAAGACTGACGGTGCGACTTAAGAAAAGACCCAAGCGGCGCGACTTAAGAAAAGACTTAAGCGGCGCGACTTAAGAAAAGACTTAAGCGGCGCGACATAAGATAAGACCGACGGCGCGACTTAAGAAAAGACTTAGGCGGCGCGACTTAAGATTTAAGATAAGACCGACGGTGCGAATTAAGAAAACACTTAAGCGGTGCGACTTAAAAAGACCTTAAAAGCGCGACTTAAGCAAGATAAGACCGTCAGAGCGACTTAAGAAAAGACTTACGCGGAGCGACGTAAGATAAGACCGACGGCGGGACTTACGAAAAGACTTAAGCCGCGCGACTTAAGAAAAGACTTTATAGGCGCGACTTAAGCAAAGACCGACGCCGCGACTTAAGAAAAGACTTAAGCGGCACGAATTAAGAAAAGACTTAAGCGGCGCGACATAAGAAAAGACTTGAACAGTGCGACTTAAGAAAAGACTTAAGCGGCGCGACTTAAGAAAAGACTGACGGCGCGACTTAACAAAAGACTGGAATTGCCAAATTTGAGTCATGCCGGTCTTTTCTCAAGTCGCGGACCTCGACCCGGGTAGTTTTAGTTGTGCAGTGTATTCAAACTATTAAAGTAGAATCAAAATTTAAAAAGCGAGTAATGGCGAAAAGCGATTTTTCTGCTAGCTTTTGGCCGCATCAGTTTTGGAGCTTTTAGTTGATAGACTGGCTCATTTATCTGATCACTCAAAAAGCGAATATTTTCTGCTAGCTTTTGGCCGCATCAGTTTTGGAGCTATTAGTTGATAGACTGTCTCAATTATCTGATCACTCAAAAAGCCAGAAAAGAATGCGAAAACTAATTTTAATCAATAATGTGAAACCATATTTGAACAGCATTTTCTTGTTTTTTTTTGTCTTTTACTTGTATCTTATCTGAATTTAAAACGGCGTAGAAAAATGCTTACAACAAATACTTGAAAATTATGAACTGCCTGGTTTTAGTGCTGGTTATTTTACATCTGTCCTCTGAATTATGGGCTATTACCTGTAATAAATCACTGGATGAGCCCTTTTATTTCAAACTTGGTCCCCAGTGCACTGACGACACTTTTCTCTCCAAGGGTCTTGACCATTGCTCCGAAGAAACCCTTTCTCAAAGTTTTTCTTTCGGCAACGTCGAACGATCGACTTTGTTTGTCTGTGTGAACGGCATAATTGCTTTCGATACACCTGTGGCTAACTACTCTACAAACTACTTCGAGACTTCAAACCATGCAATGATAGCCCCATTTTTTGCCGACGTTTTATTAGTCGATAACTTCATTGACTACATGTGTGTTGACAGAACAAACTATGAGGTTGGAACAGATTCGGCTCGCTGGTACGAATTCGAGAGGATCTGCGAATTTTTTCACGACGAAGAGGAAATAAGTTTGTCTGGTGGGGAAATAAGATTCCTAGGAGACTATATACTTAACGAGACTATCCGAAACCTTGTTTCTGTTCACAAAAATGAAATTTTTTACCGAAACAAAACCAATGTTACTTTTGACGACTATATTTCACGTTTAGTGTTTGGGCAACGTACCACAAAATACGTGAACCTAGCTAACAATGTTTTCAAACGTGAAATGAGTGATGCGGATCTGCACAACGCGAATGCATTGATAGCAAACAAACTTTTTGGAATTAGTTTCGATTGGGGTTATGTTGTCACGTGGTACAAAGTGTCGGCGTTTCCGGGCAGGTTGGACGGTTTCAATAGTTTCCAGGCAGCGATTGCTTGCGGTGTTGTATCAGAGATTTCTCAGCGGAGATGTTTCTCAATTTTCGACTTTTTTGAGCTCGAATGGGTCTACAATCATTGGCAAGAAGGATTTTCAATCAGTGGATTCAACGGTGGAAATGGTAATTTTCATATCAAATTTTGAAACGATCCAGTTATTCACGATAGCTCACTGAACCTTTTATAAGAATTATTCAAAAATTTACAGGTTTTAGAAGCAATTTTTTAAATGTAAAATCACCAAAAAATTTAGGTTACTAGAAAATTTTCCGCACTGACCTATCTTCGCTTTTTAAAACAATGTTCGCATAACTAACAGTTTTTAGTTTCTAACACAATTCTGATCAGTTTTAGGTAATCTTTACGAAGGTTTTTTGATTTCATTTTGTTTGACGTGATTTTTTAAGTGAAAAACTGAAGACCCATAATTTCAAATTGAAATAATAGCACACACTTGTGACGATTTCACCTAAAATAAAAATGAATTATCTCCTGTATTTCTGTGTAGGCATGAGATATCACCTTCCTCTTTCCGGTACTGCTGAAGTGCGAAATCTGTGGGCTTATTCAAATTTCAACATAGGAGGAATCTGGGTATTCGAACTGGTCGAAACTGACCAGGAACCCGTGACTCCTCTGGGCGAACTATCCTCAGATGACCTTGAACTTTTGGGCGCTTGCTCTGGGCCGTTTGAGCCCTCTTTTGTTGAACAGAACGTAAAATCAGCGTTGACAATTCAAAACTGCTACTTGCCGCCCCATGATGAATTTTCTGTAAAAGTAGTTCTAATTGATAAATTAGTTCTTCCGGCAGAGGGATTCAATTACATTAGATCGACCCAAACTCTTCAGTTCAATCATAGTTTTGAGAATAAGGGACCTGCTATTGTAAGCATTATGTTAGACGGAGTGCCTTTCATATCCCAAAAGTATATCTACGTTTACGAACTGGCACCGGCCAGTAATGCGACCATTGAAGCTACTCTTAAGGAAGAAAATCAGACTGTTCATCTTAACTTCCAAAACTGTAGCGTAACTGATGCAAGCTTGACAGTCAGTTTTAAAGATGAACAAGGTACGTGTTGCTGTGATTGGAGTTAAATTAAATTTTTCAAAGGGCTGGGTAATAAATGTTTTCTGAACATTTTCAGCATGTAATAAAATGTTGAAACTCAGTTACTAAAATTTGCAGGGAACTGTAGTGTCAAAAATCGAAAAACTTTTTATTCGACTACTCATTTTTACGCGAAGTTAAACAAAATGTGATCTTAAAATGCCCATGAACTGATTTAATTGAGGTTCAAAACATTTCTTCCATATATTGAGCCCAGCCGAAAAAATCTGATTCAGCTAATGTTTATTTATATTTTTGGTAAACTATTTGAAACTACCTTTTACAGAAAACATAATGAGAACTGAGAACGTGACTTTGGTGCCTGGTGACTTCTTCTATGACTACCATTACACCACCCAAGCAGGGGAACAGTGGATTGAATTCACCCGTGGCGGTAAAAGTTTAAAATGTCAAGTTGTGATTTGGATTTCACAAACAGATTTCAAAAAAGTTGTCTCAATGTTTTAGTGAAAAAAGTTTTTGAAATTGTGGTTAACTTCTTGCATTTTTTTTAGTTCGGAGCACAGCCACTGGCAACCCTTTTAAAAAAAAGGGGCTAAACTCATAGAGTAGAGAACTGTTTCAGAATTTTTGTTTCTTTTCTTCTAGAATGCCGAGCATCTTTGCCCATCACATTGAAGTCAGTCGACGATGAGAGTGATGTTAAGTGTGACACCTGGAACGATGCAGAATCACTGATTGACTACTCAGGTTGTGTCAGCGAGCTTGAAAAGTGGTACCCTTGTCCTACCGAAATTGGAATAGATACACCTAACAGGGATGTGCTTCACTTTCAGTCATTTTCTGTACTGCAAACTTTGTTGCGCCGAGAATGAAGCTTTTTCAGTGCGTTTTGAAATTGACACAATCGTTTTTGTGTGTTCTTCTATCAACTGAAGCAGCATATTTAAATTTTTGCGAAACAAGTTGTTGCCATTCTAGTGGTTGCTCTGATTTTTCTAGTAGTTTTTCTAGTGGTTGCTCAGATTTCCGAAAAGATGAAGGAACATTTATGCTTTAGCTGGTTGCTTTTTTCAGCCAATTTTCGATTTTTTTAACTAAGTGTTTTTGACGTAAAATTTTTAATACCCTTAAGGCGAGTCATGTGGCCTAATTATTAGGTTAGATGACGATTCGTCCAACTCGCCCTATTCCAACTTACCTTATGCCTATTCACACTGGGCCACTCTGCCCTGCGTTCCAATTTCACCTATTTCATTTTACCCTACACTCGTGTTAATTAACACTTACCAAGGTCTTTGAAGTATTGCATAGAACGAATCCGATTAGACGCTAAAGACATGCCATCGTACTTCATAGGAGTATGGGGTGACAATGAGGAAAAACACGAAAAAAATTCTTTTTTCAATTTTTTCATCAGTTTTTCAAACAAGAACTTTTAATTAGTAGTAGTGGGTCGAACTTCGGGGTTCCGAAGTCGAAATTTGTCTCGCAAACAAACTACTAACTACTGAAAAAAACCTCAAAACATTTTTTCAGTTTTTTTGCAAGGGTACCCATGTTTGAAATATTCTGCGTTCCTAAGCGTTCCTAAGCTTTTCACCCTGCGTTTTTAAAAAACATTTTCTTAACCCCTCTCATAGAACACCACAATTAGATAACCCCACTACAATTTAACCCTTACATAATACCAGTTGTTGGAACCAAAGTGAAACTTACTTTAAATGGATTTGTTGCACACAAAACGAAATAGCATGCACGCTGCTAAATGCGGTTTACACTTGAACATTTGAACAGAAAAGACCTTGCCAATAGACTAGACTTTGATATGAACTTGAAGTAATCCGACCAACATGAATAAAAGTAGTAATCGATAATGATAAGATTTTTCCAAATTTAAACCTGATCCTGAAAATATTCTTGCTTATAATAGATTTGTTGGTTGAATTTATATGAAGTATAGAAGGAAAACTGGATGTGACAAAAAGTTGAACTAATCTAAATTTTGTTCAAATGCCAATAATCTTAACGAAAAACGTCTCCAATTTTTCGAACCATCGAAAATGTGTCAAACTTTTTTTGGAGTGGCGCCCTATAATGCAATGTCTAAAAAGGTTGCCAACCCCTTTTCCTAGCCTCGCACACCAAAGGAGCGATCCTTCAGGGAATAAACTGCTAGGGACAGCATTTTGTAAATGCGGTTGAAGACTGTGCGTTTTTTTGCATCTCCAGAAGGCTGCACGGAGACGTTTTTTCTCAAAAAACTGACAAAAATTTTCATCAAAAAGATTATACAAAGGACAAATGAAAAGTTTTTTTAGCTTATAATCGCCATAGCGCAAAAGATACAAAAATCAATTTTCACTTCGTAAAAAAGCATATTATTCTGTTTTTTTTGGGTACGGACACGTTATTTTTTTATTTTTTGTAAATTGGTTACCTCTCCAGGCGTAATAGAAACTGAGTATTTGAAGGTATGCGTCTTGTTGGAAGTTTGCAATTACTTTCCTTATTCTGGGATGTGAACCACTGAAAAATGACTGTACACCAGATTTCCAGCACCCTACAGCATTTGTCGTTCTCGCCGAACCAGATGTTGCAGCACCTCTTCGATTCCACAATGAGAACTGCTCGATTCGGGATGAGACATTTTTATGTAATTATAACCAAAATAAAAGCAGTGCGTGTCAAATTTTGCAGTTTTTCCAACTATTTTTTGGTGCAATGGCATACTATTTGAAGTTATTTGTCAATTTTATCGAACGATCTTCATTCTTCTGTTTTGTCCTACTCCAGTTTCAATCCGAGTTCCGCAGGTTTCTTACATTTTTTCTGAGATAGAAGAAAAAAATCCAAACAACTTGAAAGGATGAAAAAAACAACCAGACACAATTGGATTCTGCGAAGCGGCCTGTTCAAAATTGTTTCAAGTATTCTGTCAGGGTTTATATTTTTAGGGCATCTAAGAAGTGTTGGTATGTATTGGTATGTATGTTGTTTTGTTTTCCGTTTTATTTCGTAAGAAGGCTTAAATGCAAGCGAGGGCTATCCTTGAAAGACTAGCATCTATAAAGTAAGTAGATAAAACTTTTTAGTTGTGACATTGAAAATTCCGTTAGCCAACCGAAAAGATGAACTTTTGAGCAGACGAAGCTTTTCCGAGTCGAAGAATGAAATAATTTTTTCTTGATCAATTTGTCCACTATCAAATCTTACAAAGTTTTCAAACAGCTGGGTAGTTTTAAATTGCTGGTTGCCGGAGGAATGCTTTTACTCATTTCCCGTTGCTTGTGCATGCATTGAGCAGTTCGAACTAAGTTTTCCTTAGTGGTTAGGGCTAATTGAAAGAGAATATCTTCTGTTATGAGCTGAATTGCAGTGGCGACTGCAACCGTCGTGGTATTGCTCTCTTTCGGTCCTTGTTGTTTTCTGAAACTAGTCGAGCATCAGGTTTTCCCGTAGAAGTTTCATGTTTATGCTCACCCCTCGTTCCAGTACACTGTTTACGGCATTTGATACTTTGAGCAATTCCAGTTCGCAGTGGTATCGTTTTTACATTTAGATAAAATTCGTGGCCTCATACCACTAAAATTTGTTTTGTTTGTCTCTGGAATATAATTTAAAATGGACTGGCGCTTCAAATATTATAGACTGGTAAAACATAGTTCAGGTGCAAGGCAGTTTAATTTTCACAAACTTTTATAAATTTTTGTTGCCTTCGATTGGCCCCATGTAGATTATTTCGTTTTAAAACCGTAAATGAGGGATTGTTTGTTTAGATATTCGAAATGCAATTGTTTTTGAGATGCTAGAGACATCAAGTGAACTAAGAAAGGCTTCTCTGGCCCCAATTAGTACACTTGATTGGAATACTTGTATAGTTGAAAAAATATCAATTTAAACACAGATGCGAAACAGCTTCGCAAAACTTGCGATGCAAAAATTATAGTAGAAAAAAATACAAAAAAATCAGATGACAAAGTTGTTGCAATTGTTTTTCTAATTTTATCATCAAAAACAGCCTACCTCCAACATACTTTTTAGGCCTGCCTGCTTTTTATTGAAGTATTCCGAAACACGTTTTTTAAATAACGGTAAACTGTATTGGTAAACTGCATTGATGAAAGAACCAAACTTCACTAAATCTGATTTACTTTTTAAATTAGTAAATGAAAGACACATAAATACTAACAAACAATATTCAATTTTTCAGAAGCCCTTACAATAGGATTAGAAACACAACAAATGTGCTCTGAAAAAACTAAAAAAACTATTCGAAAAATCACATCACTACTGAAAGTGAGAGGTTTCGTAAAAAGTTTCGAAAAACAACTCAGAAACTATTCAAAAACTTAAATCTTTCGCTAATGAGTTCAATAAAAAAAAGTAGATCAGAAAGAAACGAATGCAACAAAAAAACAAAAACTAGACACTGTTTATAAAAAGCAATTGATTTTGAACAGCAATGAAGCCAAAAAAGCGCCGTTTCACTTTTTGAGGAAAGTCCGATTGGAGAAGACAAACAAGTTGACTGAAAAACGGTTTTAAAATTTTTTTCTAAAAAATATCAAAAATATCCCATAAAACTGTTTTTTTAAATGCAGCCCGAAAATCGGTTCAAATTAACTAAACGTGAGAAAAAGTTCTTTCAATAATGTGAACAAAAAAAAATAATAAAAAGAAATTAGTCTTGCTATTCTGAATAAAACTGTGAAAAATTTTGATCTTGAACTTGTTTAATTTGATTACACTTGAAATTTGTTTGTTTCCAGTTTCTTCCATCATAACACATTGAAAATATGCAAAACCGGAGGAACTAAAAAAACTCTAATTGACATAGCAAAACGAGGAACTGGAGTAGCATTTTTAATTCAAGCTGTCAAAAATTTTGAATTTATTTATTTCTGATTTGCTGTCAAATCAGGCTTGCTTGATTTATTTTTTCAGATAGAAATATTTATTTTGTAAATTAAAATGAGCTAAAAAACATTGGAAACATATTTTTAAGTGTTGTCGAAGAACTTAACAGAAACAAATATAAAAATAATTGCAAAACACATAAACACAATTACGTACACCAAAAAATATATAGTTAAAACAGCTGATTAAACGAATAAAATCATAAAAGGATAAAATCAAAGTTATTTACAAACTGAAAACAAAAATGAAAAAAAACTTGAAAGAACTTTTTTTGAAAAAATTTCAAAAAAAGTCAATTGTTTTTTTTTCATTTTTAAGAAAACCACTCTCATTAGGAAGGGTCTGGAAAAACGATTTTGATTTGTCTAAAACAGTTTGTGAGAATTTGACCGTTCTTATGAAAACCATTAACAAGTAATTGAAAAAGAATCCTTCAGAAAATGAGCCGACGTAAACAAAGCCGACAATCAAGTGCAGAAAAAGTGCCGAATTTTTGGCTCAAAACTTTTAACAATCACACTTATCACAATCACAAAAGGCCCATTCCTAAGCTAACAAGCACATATTACCTTTATTTCTACAATAAACACGTGGAAATTCACGTCGTGCGTATTCTGTGGACAAAGTGGTAAACAAATTATCGATTTTTGAATGGGGCTAAATTATTTCGGGGTTATCTTGTTACGGGATTGTAAAGTAGGAGGGTGTAAGCATAAAGGGTTAAGTTACGTGGAATTAAAGAGTGGGACACCGAATGTCATACATTCTGAATTGATCGAAGAAAATTGACCAAAGTTGCGGATTTCAAAGTTGTGAAAGTCGAAGTTACGGTATCATCGAGACCATACTCTACTCTTTTCCATAAACTCTATGAAAGTCAGCTAATTTTTGACCGACATAATCGAAAAAGAACAGCGCTCGACGGTTTCGAGCGCGACATAATGTGGCACTTCAAAATGCGTTGGTGATGATCACATGAACTAGAAACGTACTCAAATGGCTTAGTTTTCAAAGCAAGGGTGTAAGTTCCGAAGCACATACCTTATTAGAACCGGAACTGATGCTTGGTGGGCACACGAGGAAGTTCGAAACGGAATGACCGGCTGGCAATACGATTTGTGCTGCGGAAATTCCGATGTGGAAGTGAGTGAAAAACTTGATTCGATTGGTTTTTGCAAAAAAGACACATGTGAGTTCAAAGGCTACCCGTCGCCCGGGTTTTGCATACGCTCACCTCGACTAGCTTGTTTAGCTACAACTAGAGTTGATTTAAATGGAACTATGGAAAGCCGCGAGGAATCGATTATGGTTTCAAATCAGTGTTGTTACCATCGAACTAGCGACGAATTAATTGAAAATTCCATTTCTGCGGGTAGCATGCAACGAGAAAGTGGCTCAATTGACAATATGATCCGACATTTCACCAGCGACCTGAAACCATTTTACGAGTGTTGTAAGCGAACACTTCCAGGTGAACCTTTTTGCGGCTTTTACAAAAAGCATCGCCCGACTATCATTGGCAAGTACTGGCCTCGCAACATCCTCATAAACAGAGGAGACCCCCACTTGCAGACAGTGGACGGAGTCAGCTACCCCTTCATGGGGCTGGGGGTCTACATGATGCTCATCACTGATGACTCATCTTCAATCGGGGGTCAGACTGAACTGCAGGCGAGCATGCGGAGGGTCGGCAATGGGACTGTGTTCAGCGGGATAGCAGTCAAACACGGAAACACTCTCCTAGAAGTCTACGTTGACAAGATTGCAAAAGTTAAATTAGTGATTAACAACTTCGAGAAGACACTGGGAGAAAATGTCAGGGAATATATCCTGGCCAATGTTGCAGTGGAAGAGAGAGATGATTTGAAAAGCGTTCGTTTTCAGTTTTTGGGGAATATGTTGATTGTGGAAGTGTATGTAATTCAGAACTTCCTCAACCTGAAGATCTCAGTTCCGCCCTCGTTCAAGTTTCAGATGAGGGGACTCCTGGGATATTACGACGGAGACCCAGACAACGATTTCCAAACCCCTGGTTGGTTACATTTTCAATTCAGTATGCGTCGAAGTACTCAAATTTTCAACTGTTAAAATACTTCAAACGAAAGTCATTATCAGAGGCGTGCACAGGAAATTTTTTGCGGAGAGGGCAAAACTTTTCGGGCTTTCTTTTTAAGGCCAGTCATTTTGAGATTTTTTGGGCCTTAACGAATTATGACCCTTTTTGCCTGGCTCCAAAGATGCCCGTAGAAAATATTTAGGGCTCGTTTGGCAAAAATGGCTGTCCTAAAGTAGCACCACAAACAGAGCACGGCAGTCCTCAATTTGAAGTCTTTTTCTACTTTCAGCCAATCTACACTTTTGTTTATTTTTCAGAAGGCGTGATTGTGACCAACACTACAGACTACGCGTATCTTCACGAAGCTTTCGGAACCAGCTGGGTTGTGGATCCAGATGAGTGGCTCTTTAAACAGAGAGACATTGTCTCTTCCATCGAGAATGATATTGCCGAGGGGTCTCCATTTGAGCCGATTTATGAGCCACTTTTTACGAATGAGCAGCTGCAACTCGAAGCTAATGAGGCGAGTTACATTTCAAAAAGGATATTATTGAAACTACAAAAATTAAAAAAAAAAACTGAACTACCCACAAGGTTGTAGTTAAAATCCTCCTTGAAAATAAATTCAACACTGCATAACAAAGAATTGGATTTTTAATAGAAGATGAAGGCTTTTTTAAAATTAGAAGAAATTTCCGTCAGAACTTATATGAGACTAACTTGTGATATTATATCTCGTTGTACAAATTTCGAGCTTTGCAACTCGGTACGCTTTTTAAAATTTTAAAGAAGGTTAAAAAGTTTCTTTTTTTTTCGTTTTTTTATGTTATAAGAATGACTGCGCATCTCATACCCAGCCATTTTTCTAATAGTTTTCTGGGATCTTGCCATCTATATTTTAAAAGGGGGCTTCGCAACAATGCACAAAATTCAAATATTACTAGCCGTTGAATTAGTATTTTATAGGAGTGGCATTTCGTTACAAGGTACCATAGGGGGAGGGGAATAATTAAGGAGATCCGTTTTCTGTATCTTGCTAGGTCTGCAAGGGGGATTCAGCTTGTCTGCTCGACATAGCACTGACAGGAAACATCTCCATTTCGGAAGCATTTGTCCAGTTCGAATCACAAATCAATGCTGCCCACTTTTGGAACGAAGTCTTCAGACTAACCGAGATGAGCTTCTTCATCAAAACAGCGCAGCCAGCGGACGAATCCGATGACCTGACCGAAAAATGGACATTTGCTGTGTCTCTGTGTGTCATGACGCTGTTTCTACTGCTTCTTCTGGTCATGGTTTTCAGGAAATGTCTCAATAATGGATGGTTAATTTTTACAAGAGGAGTCAAGGTCGGCGTTGTGGTTGACCAGAATCAAGGGGGTGAGGATCATTTTCCTCATCAAGAAATACGAGCCCTCTTTTGGATTGACGAAAGAGATGAAACTCCATACCTTAGATGAAATAAGAGAATAACTATCAAAGCTAAGAGAATAACTATATACATTTCTGAATCAAACTACATTTCTCTTTTAAAAAAGCCAAAACCTGAGTTGATTGATTCAATGCAAGTCTTTTGTTAGAAGAAATTGAGCCGATTTCTCTCGATAATTTTTAGGAATTATTTTACTGTATTAGAAGTTGGATTGAGTCGCTCATAATTCCAAAAAATAGGTTAAAATAAAATTAACTTGAAAAAATTGTTATGAAATGACATCTGTTCACCACCTTTGAAGACTTTAAAGCTTGCAATGATTATAGTAGCTTAGTTTTCAATAATTCAATTCAGTTTTATATTTATACTTTTTATATAAAGTGGCGAAGTAAGATAGAGGTAGAGGTGTGGTTTTCTCACACGTCTCGATTCTGAATCACTTTTTACAGGGGTGAACATATGGACACGGAGGGGCATACTGAGTTAAGACCGAAGTGTAACTCATAGAGTAATTTCGGATAGGGTACACCGTCTGCTCGTCACGCTATCTTATTTTCGGCCGGATAGATTCGTGCAACTTCTTAGTCTAATACCGATCCTAATCTTACTCTTATACTATCTAGTCTCAGGTTGTTTAACTAGTCTCTGCTAGGCTCAATAGATCTAGGGTATACTGGTTTATTGCGGCTGCTGAAGTGCTCGGGAGAGTCCAACTAATTTCTAAGTTAAATTCAAATCTCTCTGGTGCTGAAATTACAAGTAACTTCAGCACTTACAAATAAGTGGGTTGTTAGTTAGATGGATCATGATTGGTTAATATTAAATACTTTACATTGGTAAAACATTTAATTTATCCAATCATAAAATGTAGTTTAGATCAGGTTCCACCCATCCGGGTTTTACAGAGTTTTTTAGAATAGTTCTTCTGCAATTCGAAGGATGGATGATGGACGTTTGTTTTTGGCGAACATCATAATTTTCTTCCGTTTCCTCTTTTGTTAGGGAAGTTCCAGGAAGCTGGAGTTAGAGACATAAGACGTTGTGTCTTCTAGTGACAACGACTACGTCTTTGCAACAAACTCAAATCTGATTTCAGAATGGTTTGCTATGTCAGGTTTTTCTGTTCTGCGTGGAGAACTTCTTTTGTGTATGATCTAGTTTGGGAATGGCGTGGAGATTGTGCGTGGAGGGGATGCCTGGTTACTCGGATCTGTACGTATACTTGAACATCGAGGTGGTCATTGGTCTAGTTCAATGAAGTCCTTTTCTGCGAGGTCAAGTCGTACTCTAAATCCTTTGAGTTGTGATTGTGAGCGGCATATCGATTGTAGTTGGTCATTCTCTCTCGAGTGTAGTGGGGTCGTCTTGTCTTTTGATGTTCGTCCTTGGTGTTGTATTCTGATCTATATATTGCATCATGTGATTTTACATTTTATAAAACTTTTATTAGTTTAATATTTTTTAATAATGATTTTAGTTAGTTGTTTTCACAAAAGCTTTTTGTTTTAGTTCGGTTATTTTGAAGAGTTACTCACACTTGAGTAGCTCTTATTAAAAATAGTGGTGTGGTCACAAAGCGTGGATGTAGCGCGGTGGGTTAGGCCGGCTATAGAGCATGCTCAGGACGTCCTTCCTGGTGGGTTAGGCCAGGAGTGGGAGTATGATTTCATGCGGTTTTTGTGAGGGGTCCTGTTATGTGACAACGTTTTATGTTGAGTTTGTTGTGGTCTTACTTATGTTTTGTTGGTTGTGTCCTTTTTTCAAAAATCAAATTGTTTGTGGTATGGGTTTGTTTTATTATTTCTTTCTTAGACTTTATAATAGTCTTCAAAAGAATAAATTATCCAGTTTTAAACTGGGTTAATCCGGTTTGGGTACCGTTGGTTTCTTTTTCTAAGTCATGCTGTTATTCTATGATTTGTGGTATTTAGTAAGCTGCGTTGGTTAGTTTTGTTTAGTATATGATTCCTTTCCAACCGGGTTAAAGGAAAGTTTGAAACATGTTATTATATGTTAGAGTTGTTGAGTGTGAAAACTTGAAACTGAAATTCATTATTTTAAACAATTCTTCGTGGGCGAGCTGTGCGAGTGTGGATAGAATTTCTGTGCGAATGAATGAAAATATCAAAAGGTTAGTACTGCATTTGCATTTATTTAATTTACTACATAGAAGTTAGAAATTTACTGCTAGTCATGGGGGAATATTAAGATACAAATTTTCATCATAATTAGATTTACTGCTTGTGGGGGAAAATTTTAGAAATGAATTTACTGCATTGGTATTAAATTTATAAATTTATAAGTGTAAGAGATTAATAGAATTTTTGAAATCTGTTTGATGAAATTTGCGATTTTTATTTGTCTTTTGTGGTTTTTGTAGGTGATCGTCGGATGAAGGCTAAAAATCTAAGGAAAACATGGATAAGGTATGGTGAGTTTTTTAATATTTTAATTAGTTAGTAATATTCATTTAATTCATACTTACCTGTTAGTTGTCGGGGAAAAAACCGTGGGGGAAGATGTCGTGAATTAGTTCTGAAGTTGTTAGTAGTTTAGCTAAGATGCGGATGATATTTTTAGTTTGAAGCAGTGGCCAAAGCAATTGAAGTGCCTTAATAGTGGTTAGTTCTTCAGTGCCAACTGCAAACTCATAAGGTGTGTTTTGGATTAGATTATATAATTTGTGATTGAATTTAGTGTTGTGGATGAATTCTAAAATTGGGATTTCTATGGGTTGTACAAACTCGTGCGGGATAAGGAAGGGTCGGGATTCTTCGGCGTTGAAGGTCTTGGTAATGGGACAGAAGATGTACATTTGGGTTATGGGGTCATAATTACGAAGAATACCATGGAGGTTAGTGTCTTTAATACAATATGTGAAATTTAGGAAAAATGGTGAAGTGTATTTGGAATTAATAAATTGAAAACGATGGTGTGGTTGTCTAGAGGGTGTGTGTAGGTCAGAGTGATTTTGGATGAAGCGATAATAACTATATGTGTGGGTTTGTTTAGTGCGCAACATAATATCGTGTGAGCAGTGTAAATCTCTTTCGTGTGGTGCAAGGAAATGAAAGGTTAGTGAAAATATTTGGAAGCGTTCTTTGAAACTTTCGTATGCTTGTGTGTCTGTTAGTGCTTCTGAAATAATGTGATCAAACTTTCGGTCGAAGATGTTTAGTGTGAATGTATATGGTGTCTTGATGAAAAATTTCTCGGTAATTTGTGGATTAGCGAAGCGATCGTCGTCTAAGAATTGATCTTGGTTAGCTCTGATGATGTTGTGATCATAGTATTCGAGTGTATATTCGTTAGCTCTAGGTGCAGTGTGTGTTTTTAGTGATTTTTTATATCCAACGTAAGTAAATTGTCTAGGTGTTAGTGGTGTAGTGAGTCGATATAGTATGTCCGTATTTCGCTCTATATCGATGTGAGTGTTAGATAAAGGTAAGCAAAGAGGGTTAGTGAAATGATAATATGAGGTCCAAGAGAGAGTAGGCATTAAAACGTATTCATCTACAAAGTTGCGTGTTTCGTTAGTGTCGTGGGGGGTGTTTAAGGTGTATTGTGGGAATGAGGGTAAGGTGATGGCTAAAAATTCTTTTGTGTTAGTATGCTTGGGGTGGTTGATGTATTCACGGGCTGTTCCTGGTTTTGCTGGGAAAGGATGGTTGGGGAACTTTCTTTTAAAAGTGCGGTAAGCTCTATTAGTATTGTGTGAAGATTCAGTTGATGTGGATGATGGTGCTAATGATTCAGTATAATTTGAAGAGGGTGTAGGGGTAGGGGGGTTGGATGAATTTATTGTGGAGGAGATTTGGTTTATGGTTGGGGTATTAAGGTGGTAGGGTTGTTGTTGAAGGGTAATAAAATTATCTAGCTCTCGGGAGATTCGGGGGGTGTCTGGAGAATGAGATGATTGGTCAGAATGGTATGAGGAGTAGGTTGGGGTAACTTGGGAAGCATAAGAGGGTGTGGGGGTGATTGGGTCTGGGTTATTGGATAATATGGGTTGAAAAGGGGGTTGAGAAAAATTAGAAGAGTTATGAAAATTATTGGATGGGGATGGTTCTGAGTCGGCAAATTCATCGGGGGTTTCAATATTCGGGTTATTGAGTTGTGAGATGGAATATAAAACTGAGATGTGTGAATTAGTGTCGGAATTCATGCCTGATGTTACATTACTAGATGGAAAATCGGGTGGCGGAAAAGCAAAAAGTGGTATTATTGGGATTGGAGAGGTAAGATTGGTTGGGTGGGAATTTGATCGGTGTAGTGATCCAAGTTGGCGGCTCATCGTGGGCTAAAAAAATGATTATTTTGAGACTGAAAAGCGGTGGTATGGGGTTGTTCAATAATTTGTTCATAAGTATTATCATCTTGTGACTGGTGTGTCATTATATGTTGAATGGGACTTTGTGATGTGGTGAGTCGAAAATTTGGATTATGTGTGATGGCTAAGTTTCGAAAATTTCGTGGGACTAGGGATAGTGGATGGTTATTTGGTAGGGCTGGTAATTGTGGTGCCGTTGGCGTTATGTCTACATTGTTATGTTCTTCGTCGTATGTATTTTGTCGTGTTGTTATTTTTGTGTTATATTCTTTTATTTGTGCGTCTAAAAGAATTTTGTTTATAGATGTAGAAAAGATTCCAAAAAATCCTGCAAATAGTATGCGTGCTACACTTGCTTGTCTGTTTACTTGTGTGTGTATAGCACATGTGTTGTAGATTCCTTTTAAAAGTGAGAAAAGAAATCCAATAAAGTTAAACATTGCGTATAAAATAGTCAATTTTTCTAAGATGTAGTAGGGCCATCCTAGAAAATCGAGGATCTCATTTTTGAGTGTAACAAAGCTAAAAATGTTAATTGGTGATATATCTTGGGGACGGTATTTTTCACCGTTTAGATATATGTAATCTTTAATGTCCTTAAAATATCCGCTATAGTCTTGCGTGTAGATATCGGCAAATCCTGCGGTTTCTGCAAGTTTGCGTAAATTTTGGTCTATTGATTGTCTTTGTATAGTGTCCATTTGTGTTAATAATTCTTGGAATTGTTGTGTTCTAATGTGATGTTGAATATCTGATTTTGAATAGATTCCTATTGATTGTAAGTCTATATTTGGGTTTCGAGCAATAGCGCGAATGCTTTCTGGTGAAAATTTTTTGAGTGATTGCATTAATGTGGGATATGGTGTGAGAAGATAATATTTATTTTCATCAGGGTTTAG